CTGCTTTAATAGCCCGTGAGCGTATCAGACAGAGTCCAGACGTTACCACTATACACACCCAGCTTCCTCCTGCCTCCCGCAGCCCGACACCACATCCGCGTTCTGCACAGGCAGCACGGCCCCAGGGTGCCACGTTCACCAGCGCGTACCCCCCCCCCCACACACACCTGGGCCCTCTCTCGCTCGGGCTCCTCTCCCGGCGGAGGCGACTCTCATCCTTGGCCAGGACTGGGATGCCCTGGGGCAGCCTGCCCCGTTCCACCCCCGAGCAGCCAGCGGTGTCCCGGCCTGTTCTCTTCCAGTCCCTGCCACCAGGTGGTGCTGTTCCCAGTGGTTCGGTGGTTTGTCATTCACTCCAGAGGTCAGCTAGACCAGGGGTCCCCCACACCTGCTGGTTTTCAGTCCAGTGGAGCTCGCAGTTAACATCACTGATCTCTTGATTTAAGTGATAATAGCCTTAATCAGAGCAGTTCCTAAACTGGTTGCTTTCTGACTGACTGCATTTCAGAAGTAAGAGAAGATCTCCAATTTTTGAGCGGGGAAAAGGTTAACAAAGGATGCAAAGGTTAACTCTTGGCTGGCTCTTTGGCTCAGCTAAGGATTTGTTTAAGTACTTGATTGTAACGAAACCTAGCAAGTTTGGAGGTCCCCAAGTCCAGGGGTGGGAACCCCTGAATTAATGATTTGACAGCCTTGTGACGTCAGCAAGGGCTCGATTGATATCCTGCACAGGGTGAGAGTGTCCAAGTCTAATTCAGGAAATGTGTGATGTGAGTAAGTCTGAAGTCTACCGCCCATGCAAGGCTACCTGAACTTTTAATCTTTACGTTTGTCATATTTTTAAAATGGGGTAAATAAAAAATAAGCAGCTGGAGCTATCCTTCATTTATTTCATTAACAAACAACTAGCCAAGTCAGAAAGGACCATGGGCTTATAGGTACGGTTCAAGAAAGCACCAGTTTGACATGTTCTGCAATTAGAGATGAACTAGTTAACAGCATAGGGCAGGGCAGCTCAAATGTTCAAATGTTTGTAACTGTGGCGTCTGCTTATTGTGATTCCGAGAAGAAAACATTGTTGCAGCTTGAAATTTGTACGTCACCTCACAGGGGCCTTTGATTTAAATACTGTTGTCGCCTGTGTCGTCGTATTGCTTCACTTTTCCACCTGCCCTTTTTAGTTTTCTTCCTCTGACCTTAACGTATCGATCTGAGCTCTGTTGACAGTGAAGGCATGTATCTGAGTGGCTGGGCTTGCTTATCAGTTACAGCCTGGCCGAACAAAGTCATCACCCCAGACATTAATTTCCATTAGATAGTTGAAACAGATAGTTGCATCACCCACCCCTCCCCAAACTAACACACTTAAAAATTAGTTTCTCAACAGACTGCACTCAGAAAAGGGCCACTTTCATAAACCGATTTCCACCACCCTCACTTCACAGCATTTTCGTTGTGCTTTTTCAAAACGACAAGCTCCTGATCTTGCAAAATCAAAAACATTTCGACCTGCCTGTAGGGACTTACCGTCCTGAGAGAGTGAACTGACAACTCCTGGAGTACATTTCTTCTTAGGGGGGAAAAAAAAAGACAGGTTTAAACGCAGCCTGTTAGTAATCAAAACTCAGGAACGGGCATTCAGGTTTGCTTATTGTAGGCTGCCTACACAGATGTAGTCCAGTGCGGAATTGTTTCATAAAGATTTGTGACTTATGCCAAGATCCATCTATCTCTATAAATTACACCATGTTTCTGGGTCAGTGGAGTATTACATTGTCCCAGCAGGCTGTTGAACAAAATACAATCTTAAGATAAAATGTCTCCGATTCACCTGCTCTTGTTTCCCCCTCCCCCCTCTTTCTTTGACCTCCCAGACCTTTCAGGTTAGCGAAAAACAAACCTCCTTGATTTTCTTTTCTGTCCTGCACGCACCACAGGCCCACACGCCTCTTTCGTTTCAAGCGTGTCTTTTTGTGTTTTTTGTTTTTGTTCCCGGGCTCGTTCCCGTCAGGTTTTCCAGCAAGTTGATTTCAACAAGAAGCCGGGCCGCGTGAGCGTGAAGCCCATTAACTTCGCTGTGATCCTCAAGCTGTCCAACACCAACCTGCAGGAGAAGGCCTTCAGGGTAAGTGGGGCACACCTTCCTCCCCTCCGTGACCCCCGGGCACCGCTAATAGGATTAAGGAGATTAGAGCACGGGCGCGAGGAGCATTACCATACCTGCCTCTCCCGAGGGGATTGCTGGAGGCTCCTTGGATTAGCATCTTTCCTTTCTCGGACGAGAAGCCCTGTGTATAAATATACATATGGAGGCCTTTTTCGTTGACGAGCGCCTTGTCTAGAAAAGAAATAAACGGCGTCTTTTGCGTTTGCCTGCCTCCGACAGATGCTCTATTGCTCAGGCTTTGCGTGCAGCGGAATGTGCTGTAGTGCATGTGTGTTTTACTGGAAGGAGCCTGACGTTATCCAGTCTGTTTTTACTGGGGTCCCTTACCGGGGCCTGGTATTGTCCGATCTGTTTTTTAGGGTCCCTTACTGAGGCCTGATCAGTGAGCATGGCTGCATGAAGAACAGACATAAAAGGGGAATATGAGGCAAATTAATATAAAACACCCGCCCGAAACTTGGCCTTGCGTTGCTGTCCTCTGTCTGTGATAGCCGGCTGTGTTTGTTTTAAATGTCCAAGTATTATCTGGCAAGAGAGTACAGGGACAGCTCGGGTTTGATTTGATGGACTGCAGTGCTGCGCTGCGCTGGCCAGAGTTGCAACGAAACCGCGAGCTCGTTTCAGAGCGGGGTTCTGTGTTTAATTATTCACCATGGTTGGATCAGGGATCACAGCTGCGCGGTTTCCTTCTGCTGGGCTGGCTCTCCCTGGGCTGTTTCCGAAATGTGTGTCTGTGTTGCAGGACGGCCTCATCGAGCAGCTGTACGATCTGCTGCTGGAATACTTCCACACGCAGGCTTGCTCCATAGGCTTCCCCGAGCTGGCCCTGACCACTGTCGTTCAGGTACGTCCCCGCTCAGAGCCTCTCCTCACCTGCTCTGCCTTGCAGCACTTAAAGAGCACGTCCAACACACAGACTCTTGGCTGTCAGCGAAAAAAATGACACAGCAACACTCGGAGGTTCCTTACAGTGAGGAATAGCTGTAGAAATTTATTTTGCTTTTAATTTGTCCTGAGCGTCTCTGAAAATTCCACATTTTTGTGGATCATGCCTCTGTTTTATGGGCATTGCTGTGGTCAGCATTGCTGCCTCTCAGCGCTGGGGTCCTGGGTTCACTTCCAGATCCCAGGGGTGCTGTCTGCGTGGAGTTTGCATGTTCTCTCTGAGTTTGTGTGGGTTTCCTCCAGGTGTTCCAGTTTCCTCCCACAGTCCACAGACATGCTGGTGGGTTATTTGATTTTGGCCCTGGCCTCTGTTGGGCTCTTTTGTTTCTGCACTGTACTCAGTAGACAGAGTCGTGCCTGCTGGTCGCATCTCCTGTGCCCTTGTTCTTCCCAAAAAGCAGGGATCAGGCTCCTCTTGTCTCAAGGAAAAAAAAAACATCCCCACAAAAGATTATTACATTTGGCTTCCTGAGAGATTGGCTTTATGATTTGCAGCTCAGTTTTTTTGTTGTCTGTGTTCGCAGAAGATGAACACCGTCAACCAGGCATTTTGATAAATGTTTCAAGAATGTGGCCGGTGGAGCTGCATTATGATTGATTTTTGATTTTGTCGCGACCTGGGAAAAAACCGAATTAAAAGTCAGCTTTCCCTTCCTGGTGCTTCATCTTGCCGACCGTGCGGTGGGGAAAAGGCCGGTTTTGCAGCGCCTGCCTTGCAGGGCCTTCTTGCCGTGGGAGTGAGTGCTGGGGAGAAGGACAGGACAGCGCTGCAGTGATGGGGGTGTGGGGCCTCACCACTCTGCAGTCAGGGGCTCCAGGGGCTTCTCTGAGACTGGAGCCAGAGTGAGTGGGACGCAGGACTGGCGCAGGAGTGACGAAGTTTGAGCAGAACAAAGCTAAAAAAAAGAGTAAAAAACATAAATGCGTTACGAGGGTATTTATATTATATTGCGCCAAATAAAATGGAGATTTGATCAAAACAGACGTCCACAGTTTTATTAGCACTAGAGTTATCACTGCAGGTGGGTGAAATTTGGTGGCCTGCTCACTGGCTCTCTTGCCTGTTGTCTCAGCGGTTGAAAACGCTTCCAGACATTAGAGGCTGTGTGATACAGTGCTGAGGGCTGCAAAGGAGCAGGTGAAGGTTTATTTCTTACTGACTGCATGGAGGCTCGCCGCATCCTTACAAAACTAGGAGCCAGAAAAATATGGAGACGTGTGCTTGTATTAGGTAAGATCTGGGGTTTACGATAAAAGCATACAGCTGATAATTCAGTTGTACCACCACTGTAATACAGTGCGTTTCTCAGTTTTATTTTTGTACCTTTTCGTTGTGCCACCCTGGATGTCCAGTATTTTCACACAACATTTTTTTTACCCTACCAAACAATTCATATGAGCAGCCATTCAGCTTGAGTTTTAATCTTTTTGTCTTGTTTTACCTACTTACACCTTTTATATATTTCGATTTTGGTAACTGTTGAAGAAGCTGCTTGTGGTTTTCCCCAGCAAGGTTGTGACCTATGGTAAAACCCTGATGCTGACTGTGGGCTAATCGCGCTGCATGCTGGTATGAATGTCCAGGTGACAGCATGGTTTTCACAGGAAGAGAGATGGTGGGTGTAATACTGATAGCACTCAGATCATTGCAAGAATACACAAGGACTCGTATTTAATCCTTTCAACAATGTGTGTGAGGCATTAGGAATTATGATGAAGAGTTCTGTTAAGCCAAATCCTGTTTACGTTATTGGTACTGTACTGGTTGGCGATGCCTCCAGACAGCGTGAATAAACAACAGCTGAGGAAAGTCTCGATGTGACGAACCGCCTCGTGTCTGTTGTTAGGATTATGTGCACCAGTGGGGTTGGGGCAACAGCTCCTGTCTGGTTTTTTGTGGGGTCCTGTTACAGCTGTAGAGGAGATGTGGGTGTGTGTGGCTGTGGGGAGGGGGTGCTGCACCCCTCCTTGGCGTGACCCCTGACCCCCCCCCGAGGGGGCTCCTGCAGGAGGAGGGAGGGGGGGTGGTTCGGAGGGGCGCGTTGTGCTGGGACAGAAAGAGGATTGCCCCGTGTTTGTCCTGGGGCAGGGAGCTGTGCTGACCTCTGTCCTGAACCCTTGACTTCTCCTTGGAGCTCCGTCTCCTTGGTTTTCTGTAGCTGGGTTAACCCGGGATGCGCTCTCTGTGTGTGTGACGCCCCCCTTCTGCCCTGTGGCTTGGGTTGGCACATGAGGGATGGTGCTGCTGAGGCCTTATCCTGGTGACAGGACCCGTCTAGTGCCTTGAGATTCGCCCCAGACTGCAGCTGTTGGAATAACCTCTTGGGAGGCAGCCTCGATATCGTAGGAGGGTTTAAATCTAGCTTTTCTGTGGTCCCCAAAAAGCATTGGCTCCATTTAGCATAATTGCCTTTTCCACTGTACAAGTTACGCAATCTGGAAAAAAAAGAAGACACCATTAATGGTGATGTTGCATTAACCTGACAGGGGTATCATTCCACTGCAGAAAAATAGTCTGTCTGCGATGCTGCCAGTGCGTGAAAGCCCCCTGTGTTCTTTTCCCTTGTCCGTAATCGTCTCGGCCCGTTTACGATAGGATTATTGTGGGGCTTTGTTGGGCCTCTTACAACGGATTATAAGGTCAGTCAGCCTTGTTTCAAAAATGGGTGTGGTTGGACATAATTGACTTTCCAAACAGTAGGCGTTTAATTGAGGATACATGTTATGTCCATACGTTGAATATAGAAGATGATGCAAGGCGGTAATTTTATACGATTCATCTAATGTCGGGCCTTATTCCCATAAAGTTGTTTTTTCTCATCTGCTAACCAGAGAGGCACATGTTCAGTTTATGCTTGCCTGAGTGGCGCAGTCTTAAAAGAACATGTGCTGAATTTCTTTAAGGATTCAGCATGGAAAATGCACCAGCAGTTTTCCATAATTCTGCAAGTAGGTGCCCATTCACCGACGCTGTTATTGTATTTGTAGTGTATGGCCTAATGCTAGAATGCTTGCCATGTTTCCAGCGAGCGTGCAGCAGGAAATGGATAATGGTTACGGGCAGAGATAATGTTCGGAACATTACCACCATCGAATGCAATTAGAGCCTGCTCCCTCAACTGAAAAGCTGCACTTTAATTACATAATGAAAACTTGGAGCAAATGAGATGTTTAAGTCCTTGCTCTCTCTCTGTTTGGGTCCCATCTGGTTGTTTGGAGCCAGAGAGTAATGAACCTTTAGAGATTAAATCATCGGAGGGGACTGCCCTGGCCGTGTGTTAATCAGGGGCCGCAGGCCGCACAGCTGCAGGAGTTCTGAGCCAGCTTCCTGAGTGAGGGGTTCCCTGTACTGGGGTGTTCGGACGGCAGGCACTGCAGGAAGGGCCAGCGATGCTCAGTGCAGCGGGAAGAGATTGCACCACTTTTGTGGGTGTCAGGAAGTAAGTGCTTCGTCCAGGCAGGTACGAAAAGGCCATTAGTGCTGTGGTGAACAGCAAAGAACAGTGTGCAGCAAATTGTGCCACAAAATGCAGGTTTAAACACTTATTTGCTACTCATCCTTCTCACTTCTTTGTTTTTGTTGTGTAAATTCCAGTGCTGGTGTCCTGTTTCTTGTTTTGTAGATGGTTTAAGCTACATCTGCGTTATGAAATAAAGTATTTTTTTTAAATTTGCGTTCTTTCCTCTGCCTGTTCACAGCCACACTCTCCTGTAGTTCATAAACGCTGTTACCCAGGGCCAGCTCTCAGGCTGTGCATGGCCTTGGTGATTTCAGTGATTTTGCATCTGGTGAAGCCTTCGTCGCGGTGTGCACGCAGCACGTGTCGGAATGCAGCCAGCAGGAGTACTGGGAGCCCTTCTGGGATGCCTGGAAGGTTTAAGGAAGATAAAGTGAAAGCTTTTGAATAAGCTGTGATACTTATTCTCCTTCCTGACCCAGCTCACCCCCTCTCTCTCTCTCTCTCCCCTTTTCTCTTCTGCAGCTGAAAGCTTTCCTGAAGGAATGCAAAGTGGCCAATTACTGCAAGCAGATCCGGCAGCTGCTCGAGAAGATCCAGGAAAATTCTGCCCACATCACGAGCCGGAGACAGAGAGCCACGTTTGGTGTGGCTGACCGGGTGGCTGTGGTGAGTCTGTGGTCCTGTTCTCCTCCGGGGAAGACCGTCTGTCTCCAGCGCGATAACGCGCTCAGAGGGTGGCACAGGAGAGCTCGTATTCCCAGCAGACCGGGGGCAGTGGGAGGGTGGCGGTGGGGAAGGAATGATCGCGCCCCATCTGGGAATGATCTTCGCCTTCCCAGTCGCTCGCTCCGGAGTCTTCTGGAACGGAGCTGAATGCGCCGCATTGTTTGAAATCAGGAAGTGGTGTGCCACGCCGTTTCCCTTCCCCGAGGACATCCTTGTAAACTCGATGTACTCAGTCTCTGCGGGTTTCCTTCTGGTGTGGAGCTGTCCTGAATTAAAACGGAGATGGAGATGCTCTAAATCCTTCTCCAGTCCCCCCCCGATTTCAGCCTGCTCCGTACATGGCTTGCGTTGAAGCGTTCCGCGTTTCACGGGACTCCCTGGTTGCCCGCCACGAAGAACGTGTTGCATAATTTATGGGGGTAGAGGGATGTCTGGGAGTTTTAGAAATGAAGGGAGTTTGCAACAGTTCAATGCTTTCCCCCCCAACCGGAGAACTCCAGTGAATTGTCTTTGTGTCTGTTGCGAAGGAAGGAAGTTGAGTGTGAAAAAGAAATCTCCCCAAATCTCGTGAGGACGCCAGTCGGCTCATGGCGTGGGGAGCGGGGCAGTTAGGGCTTTGTTTCCCCTGCGTGCTCGATCAGGCCCCGTTTGAGAACGGGAAGACGAAGGCGGATCTTGAAATGGCACGAATTCCAGACCGCAGTTTACTGAAATGAAAGCCTGGTTGTTCACGGCCCGGGTTCCGTGGAGCCTAGGATTATCGCCGGCTGGGCCAGACGCCCTGGCTGCAGCTGTCAGGTGGTTTTCTCCAACACCCCCACACCTCCCCCCCCCCAATCTTGCACCCATCAGTCCGGCCCCCCTCCCTCCTCCCCCTTTCCAGAAAGGGCTGGCAGGGAATCAGCTGATATCGCCGCGGTTCCCAGACGCTGTAATCGAACGCTGACCACCTGCTTACAGACGCCAGTTCCTCGCACTTCATCCCCACGGAAACCGTTTCGGACCAGCAGCCTCCTGCTGGGGGAGGCGTTTCGAGGTCAGCGTGCCGTGCCGCCTTTGAACCTTGTAATTTGTGGGGGAAAATAAACGGCGGCGGCGTTATCGGTGTGGTTATTTTTCGATTTCCTCGACTGATTGTCAAGCTTGTTCCACACCCCCACCGCTCTTTGTGTAAGGAAGTGCCTCCTGTGTAAACGCATCCAGGACCACAACAGTCTTGACACCCAGCTTGTTAGATCTTGAAGTAAGAAACACTTCATGTTCACAGAAAGATAGACAGTTGTTCATGCATACAGACGCGTATGTATTGCACATTGCAGGCAGCGCGCGGGCCTGTGAACTCGGCGCACGCGGCTGGGGTAAGACTTGAGTTGCGACAGACATCTTGGCCCTGCTCCTGCGCTCCATCTCAAATTCCCCGTCCCCGAGCCAAATCGCAGGGCTCACGACCAGTTTTTCTCCCTCTCCTCCTCCGTTTCCCGACAGACTCCTCCACCTCGCGCTCTCCACATGTCAGAAACAATTACCCTGTCTCCGGGTTTTAATCTGAGACATTACTTAGATGTTTGTGTTAACCTCCCCACACAAACCCAGCAGCTCAGCAAAACCCGCAGGTTCTGCCACCCAGCCCTGCATTAATCTTTGCATTTAATCTGGTTACACAAGAACGGGCAAAACACCCCAGAAAATCGCTGTGGAGGCGTGGTGTGATAATGCCAAGGTTCTGGGTCACAACTCTTCGCCGATTTTCTTGTAAATTCACGCACTACGGGCAGACAGGTGCCGTTGCTGTCATTCGAGATACAGCAGCTGCCCCGGGCCAGTTCCGGTGTTTAAAAACTACTTCATGAAAAACGGGGAGGGGCGCACAACCCTGTGAGAAACGCCGAACTCTTGAACCCGCGTCAAGCCCACTATAAAAACCCAAGAGAGCAGCCATTGACCGGACCTGGATACAGACTGCGTACCTCCCAGTTCCTGTCCTTTTTTAATGCAACGAACAAGCGTGAAACATATTAAAAAAACACAAAGATCCATGTGTCCCCCTGGGGGGAGAAGGTTAGTCTTTTTGGTAGCACGAGTTCCAGGGAGGAGGGCGAAAAGGGGGGCGTCCTATATCAGTGCGTGAACACTGTGAAAGGGAAGAAGACCGACCTGGAGAGACAAGGATATTTGTAAACCTAGCATTAAGATTCGAGGGGGCTGGTGCCGTGTTGTCTACGAACAAGGCATGGCACACCTTTCCAGATCTAGATTACATGCAGAAAGCTCCTGCAGCTCCCGTCTTAAAATATTTATTACAGTGCTCCTGTCCTAATAGGATCTATTAGGATCCTAATAGGAGGCTTTAAAAGTCTTCGGCCATTTAGCATTCGCAAAAAACGCAGCTACGGACGTTTCCGGGTGTAACTCTGTCCGGACAGGAGCCTGGTGGCTGAGTATCCTCATGGAGCCGGCTGATGACACATCCTCGCTCCACCAGTGCCAGTGTCGGAGCGCAGACGTGTCACGGGGCTCCCGTTCCCCGCAGCTGCAATCTTAGACTTCCTTTATACAATTTTAATGCATTTCAGCACTACCGCTGTCACGGGCGTTCTGCTTGTAATATGCATTTAAAAATAGTTTGTTTTAAAGGCACAGCAATGTCCAGTGTGAGGGTTAAAAAAGCCTGCCCCCTGCTCCCCATTCAAAGCACAGTGCCAGTGTCGCGACCAGATATGTCAGAATATAAATCAAATCTTCCCTGCTTTTTGTAGTGGCAGCTGAAATAATGACTTTTCAATGCGAAGTGTCAAGGAAGCTAACCGAAGACAGCACAAAAACTAAATATTCCTCCCACATTTCCTCTTTTTCAATCTTGAACGGATATGGTAACAGACTACACATTGTTTTTGTCTTTAGAAGTATTTGAATTCTGCACTGGCATCAGTAACTGCAATGCCTACTGTACAGTTGCCATAGATCTGCAGCCTAGTTTCGTCATAGCCCCAGTTTTTCACACTACCCTGGCGTCTCTCTAGAAATGTCATTTAACTCCTGACTACCAGAAGGGTTGGGTGGGCTAAATGCCCTCCTCTCCTTTTGAACAGGGTAATTGTTTACATTGAGAAAGACGGGGATGTTCTGATTTAGCCTGCTTAGCGGTAAAGAAAAACCGACCCTCCCCAACACCACCCCAACACCTTTGCCATTTCGGTGTCAGGACGTGAGACCGGAAGCCCATCTCGGTGCCACGCGGAAAACATCGGGAAGAACAGTGGTGCGTTTGTGTTGAAGCTGGTTGGCTTCTGTCTCTCGCCCTGCGGTGCTGTCTAAGGTGTCTTTCTCAGTAACCCTCCCCCCCCGCTCCGTTTTCGTTACCCTTATAACCACACAGCAAATTGTTATAAATAAGTTTAGATAACCGGCGACTGAAGCGGCAATCTATTACTGTCTATTGGATTTGGAGGTCAGATAATCTTATTTGACCCGATCAATACCATCAACGAGGACCTGCAGGGATACTTGGCAATGATCCTCTTTTTTTTTCTTCCTCTCCCTCTCCTCCACAGCATCCCCCCCCCCCCCCCCCTTCTGTCCTCCCTGGTGTTGTTTTTCGGTTTCTCTTGGTGTCGCAGCTTGTTCTAAAGAAACCCGGATTTCCTCGCTGTTGTTTTTCGGATGGCAGTTGGCAAAAAAAAAAAATTAGACTTTAGTCATAAGGCAAAGCCTGTAGGAATTAAACGTCATCGATTAAGTTCGATATTCAAGACTGTACACCAACGCGTAAATGAGCTGATCGGTAGGTAGAAAAGGCCAGATTAAAAAAGATGAAGGCTCAGAGGTCAGTGGCATCTTCCTTTGCTGCCCTTGAGTGCACATCTTTCTCTTGCATTATCGTATGCAGGAGGATGCATAGCAGCAGAGACATGAAAGGGCATATGGAGCAGACTTAAGTGGAAGCAGGAGACCCAGTGGTGTTATTCCGTTCTTCTCCTTAGCACAGATCGGGAAGCCATGACGACGTTTAACGAAATTCAGAAAACTGCGAGTCTCTCTAGACAAGGAATCCCAGAGAGCCTGAGCTGTCTGCTCGTCCTCCAAAGACCTGGCTCACCACCTGAGGCTGGGGCTACTTCAGGACTGCTTTAGTGGTCCACAGCTTTGGAAATGCAGCATTTGCAAAGCACCATTAAAACTTGACCATGTGCTGAACTCTTTCTGGGCATGACGGGACTGCTGTTCTGGTGATTAGCAAACGGATTCCAGATACACGTATGGAAAATAACAAGACTCACATCATTTAATGTCCCTAATTGCCTTTTATTCTTTATTTGTCCTCTGCCTTCCATCTTTTCTTTAACACTTGAAAGTGCTTCTATACAAGTATGATATTTCAGACAAAAACATGCCATTTTTAATCACATACTTGCATGTTCATCCCCAAATGATTTGGGCTGTCTTGCAAGAGGGCAGACAGATCTTAAAAGGCCCCGCTCTGGATACTGTATTATTTCCTGCTAAAATTCTTTTGTTGAAGGCGCATATTTTTGATCACCAGCCTGAGCATGTTCTTCAATTTTTGATAGGGTTAATATATTTTTAATGACCTGGCTTTAATATTTCCTTCTGTTCGTGGTTGCAGGAGGCATGGGAGAAGCAGATTGCAGAGGAAGGCACCCCCTTGACCAAGTACTACAGTCACTGGAAGAAACTCAGAGAGAAGGAAATTCAATTGGAGATCTCTGGGAAAGAGAGGGTAATTATCATACACAGGGCCTTACTGTATTTCTGGGCTTAAAGGAGAAACTCCTGGAAAAGTGGAAAGTATCTGCTTCGGCAAGCTTTTCTTTCTCTTTGTATTTGTGGTTGCCCAGCCCGGTTTTATGGTTTTATTTTGCCATTGTTTTTATATGTAGTTCTGCTCCAGCTGCAAAATAATGAACTGGTCCTTCCCTAGCTGCAGAGTGATGAACCAGTCCTCCAGCTGCAGAGTGGCGAACCAGTTCTCTGTGCATCTTTTAATAGGATGAGAAGTGTGCTTTAAGATAAATATTTTCTTCCAGTAGTTCAAGAAGTAAAGAAATAATTACAGAATTACAGAGCTCCTGTTGGATTTGATTGCAACCTTTTGTGAGGACGTGGCATGTCCCGTTTTCTATAGCCATACTAGATGTTACTAACCTTGTCCATGTTGGTCTTCTTTTCATCTGAACTTAGTAGCACAGAAAGCCAAAGCAACTTTTGATGGAATCACAGTCATTTGAGAATTGAGTCTAAAAAATAGATTATTTATGTTGTGAGGTTGTTTTATCTGCAGTCACATACAATGAACCAAGATCCGGGTCTTAATTTGACGGGTTTACCCTTTGCATATCCTGGGGTTGTTTATATTACATTTGAGGAAATTAGTAATTAATATCATTTTTCCCAAATGGAGGATCAGTTTGTGTGGGGAAATAAACATTTTTCTCTCCCTCTCTGTACAGATGGAAGACTTGAACTTGCCCGAGATCAAACGCAAGAAGCTGCACGAAAGAAAAGAGGAAGACAAGAAAGAGTTTAAGGATCTCTTTGAGTCAGACAGCGCTTCTGACGATGAAAGCGTTGGATTCAAAGTCAAAGGTACAGAAATAAAAGAAGTAGAAAACTTTCCTCCTGAAAGTAAGTTTTTAGAATTGCGATGTTCTGTTCTTAGCCGTTTTCAAAGGCCTTTACCTGATTATTTATGCTAGACGGGCCTGAAGACACTTTCTTAACCCACCCTCTGTCCAAAATATTAGTCCTACCACCACCAAGGTCACCGAAGAACACAGCAGCCCTGGCATCCCTGCCTTTCCCTTGTGGATGAGGGGTAGTGGTGTTTCATTGCATTGAGCCCTACAGGGTCCTCTCGGCCTGGAGCCTGGCCTCTCGGTCCTAGCACCTGTTCACTGGCACCAGGAGCGATCACTTTCCCTCGGGGGTTCCTGACCAAAGTGCATTTAAAAGTTAGGTAAAAAGTTTCTTTGAGTGCCTTTATAACTGAGAACAGAAGGCACCTTTTTACACTGAGCGTTGTGGGACTCGGGAACAAGCTCATCGACAGAAGACTGGTATAGTCCCCTCAGAGGCTGTCATGCCCAGAGAGTGGTGGACATTGACACACCAGCTAGAGACAACTAGTGCCGGGGCCTAACAGCAGGAGGGGCCCAGGTGGTGTTCTCTGATCGTGCCTGCTTGTTGTTTTGGGTGGGTTGGGTTTCCACTGACCCTTCGCTGCCTTGGTGCACCACCACATTATCTGCCCTGTGTTCTGTTCGCGGCATGGTGAGGGTCCGAGCCGATGTTCTCCGTTTCCCAGCTCTTGTCCAAACCAAGCCCTTTGCACTGTCCATTCCTCCCTGTGGCGCTTAGTCTTGTTTGAGGGTGACTGTCTTGACCTCAAAGCAACAGCAAGGTGAGTGTGCTTGGCAATGGGCTGCAGCCCCCCGGTTCAGCCACTAGGGGGCTGTCCTCTATTGTTCAGTGTGGAGGCAGAACTTTTCTCAAAGTCTGAATTTGTACTGTGGAGTTCCAGGCACAGCGTAACAGGTTTATACTTAAATGAAATAGGTCTGGGCAGAAATGTAATCAGATTTATATCAGGGCCGGCACATTTCAGCCAGAATGAAATTTTCAGTGGGCTTGCATGCATCCGAGACAAGCTGTGCTTGTGTAGCCCTGCCATTGGGATATCTCGTTGGTTGCTTTTTTTTTTAGTCAGGTGGAAGTGGGTCTGGTCGAACGTGACACAGTTGTAGGCTGTTGAGGTTTCGCCGGGCAGTGGGTAGCGCAGGGCAGTCGGGCAATCTCCCTTCGTCTGCTTGGTTCTCATGGTGAAGTTAGCAGAGTGCTGGTCACTGAGGTCTGTGTGTCCCATCTGTGTAAAGCTGGTCTGGATAATGCCAGGACTGAGCAATAGAAAGCTTTAAGTTTTAAAGAAGAAAGAAGTGTGGCTGCTAGACTCCAGGCTCTGCTGTAACTCGGTTTACGGTGTTTGAGGCTTTTGCCCTGCGCTGTGTGTGACAGAGAGGAATGGAGCTGTGGGCTCCGTGAGTAGGCCTTTGTGTGCAGCTGCCAGTTTAATGGGGCTCTCCAGCCTCTAACCTGTGTCTCGGGATGCCTGTGCCTGTGTAGGTCATGCACAGGGCACAGGCTGTGGCCAACAGCCCCCTCCCGAAAAACAAGCCCTGCTCCGCTTCTTGCATCTGGTATTCATTCTGTCCCCTCTGACGCTCGGGCAACTGCCTGCGAGAGACTCTTCTCGCCAGCCCCTCGCTTTCACAGGAAGCTCTTTTCTTTTCTGCAGGCTTGGATCCCGGTGGGGGTTCATAATTCAAAACAGTTGGCTCAGAAAGATCCCCGCGCCCCGCGCCCCGCTCCCGAGGCACACAGAGTAATGGGCCTGCTTCCCCACTCTCTGTGATCCATAACACTCCACGTCTTGGCAACCCACAGAGCCCCAGTTGGTGGTGGGCTGATCAAATAGTTGTCATAGATACAGCAGGGAGAGGAGGTGAAAGTGAGACGGAGAGCAGAGAGAAAGTGAAGGAAGGGAGAGAGGAGGAGCTGTTTCTTCCAACCTCCTGTTTACCAATTAATCCGGCCATCCTGTTTTTTTTTTGTTTTTATTGCTCTTGTCGTTTTTTATGTGCGCGTTTCTTTTTTTCCAAAAAAAAAACGTTTCCTCTCCCGTGCGGGTTCTGGGGGCAGACGTTACTTATCAACCGCTGCCCAGACCCCCGTCTGAACGAGAGCAGGCAAACCGCCGCTTGGAAATGCTTCAGCAGCGCTCTGAAAACAATTAAAGGCTTTCAAGTAGCCAGCTCCTGGTGAGAGCTTTGCGGAACTGGCGTTCTGGGCTCCGCTGTCTGTGAGGGCGGCAGCTAATAATTAAGGGCTCTGTGGTGGTGTGAGGTTAGGGGAGGGGGGGTGGGGGGGCCGGTGTTGTCTGGCAGGGAGCGGAGCTGAGGGCTTCGCTGGCTGTCTGGACCTGGGAGGTGGGGGCCTGTTTGTGAGTGTGCGGTGAAAGGGCCGCCCCGCTTGCAGGAGAACCCCCCCCTCCCGCCACCGCGTGACACCCCAAATTAATTATGACCGGTTCTGAAAAATGCAAGGAAAAGAGAGATCCTTTTCTTTCCCCCTCGCTAAAGGTATGAAACGCGAAACACGGCGCACACGACTGATGGCAGAGCTAAATAAAAAAAATCGCCTTTTCTTCCGCTTGGTGTGTAATATTGCTCCGTGACGCAAGTCGGTCCATCTGTATACAATCTGAACCACCTCTTAGTGTGTTTTGGAGTTGAGCTTATTTGTGTTTGAATGCTGGGACGCGTCATTCGCACCTTGCAGTCTCTCAGTTGTCCCGTGGTTGGGCCGCCGAAACATGGGTCTCCTGAGCAAGAGTTCGTATTGAATTTGCGAAGAGCAACACATCGGAAGACATTCCTTCCACTGCCGTACCTGCGTGACATCTGGGCCAAACAGTCGCGCTTGAAGAAGTAAAGGTGGAATCGACAAGCACGGTGTTTTTCTAAGAAAAATGCCCTCTGCTGTTGCTGCAAAGCTCAAATTGAACCACTTAGAAATGGCTTGTAGCTCTGGCATTAATAGTGTCCAGCTGATGTTTTAAAGATAAAACTTGAAAGTGTTTTTTTTTTTTTTGTTTCCTTCCTTGAGGCTGTAGCTCTTGAGCTCTTGAAGAGCGTAATTTTAAGAGATCCTTACCCTGGCCTCTAATTATTCCTGTTTTGTTTTTTAGTCTTTGAGGGAAAGTCTGTTCTTAGAGGTTTATCTGCGGATCTCTTGAGTCAAGAGGTTCAAGTTGTCTTTGTTATTTTAAAGGCATTGTGCAGATTTTCAAAGCCAATCAGAGGACAGTAGTTTAGTCTGTATGGATTGCCTTTTTATTGCTTTATTGGTACTCCCGTAAGATTAGCTGAAAAGGGACAAATTAGGATTTATTCGGGGTGGTGAATGGGTTTGTGTATTAAAGGTGCCATTTTGTATTTTTATAATTCAGTTTCTGGGCTATACATGGTCAAAGTAAATTTCATTTTCACCCTATAAATCATTTGAGGATGGTAATTGTGAACCTGTTTAATCAGAAAATTGATATTTCTGCCATCACTTGATCGAGACCTCTAGAATATTTACATTTACTATTATTTTGTTGGCAAAGTTCTGTTTCTGCTTGGGAACGTGTCGCCTTTATTATTGTACAGTGCGAAGACGGCCTTGTCCTGTTTGCAAACTGCAAACTCTAATGTGTCTGAATAAGTGAGTGAAAGATATTTTGCTTGGTAGAGATGGGGTTGGCTTTAGCGCTATTCAGGTAAGCTTTTCAGCTGAAGCATCTCACATTGGAGAAAATTCCAAGTTTTTAATTTTGAACATTTCTGAGATGAGTGTTTTTTTTTGTCTCTGCACTCTCAAATTATTAATCAGTCTGTGTTCCTCTGGGATGTATTCTCTCTTTTCACACCAGTTATTACTGCTTCTTGTATGACTGGTTCCGTGGGAGCTATCGTTCCAAGGTGAGAGTCTCTTCAGTCCTGCAGTTCTATAGATGCCAGTCCAGGATTGCCCAGCTGAGGGGGCACTGGCCAGCTGTGCCTCACAGCTGTGGCCCCAGTGGGCTATACAGAACTGTTTTCCTCCAGCAGTCAGGTGATAGAGCTTGAGAGCTGAGGAGTAGGTGCTCGGTATCCTTCAGAATGGAGACTTTTAAAGCTCACTTGTATTTGGGTTTTGGTGGTGATGCCCATTTATTGAATTCTTTTCTTCTCAAGGCATGTTAATTGAATGAAGTTCTGCTGTGGTGCCCATACTGATTGTGAGTGTATTACAGACTCTGGTGAAGTCCTGGTCCGATGGTAATTCCTTGCAGGGATAAGAACAAACAGTACAGATTCTTCCACCATTTTCTTACACAGCTGAAGAGCAGCATAGGAATTAAATGCTGTTCTTGCCCTCTTCCCGAAAGTCTGTGCAGAGCTGTCTCTGCTCTGGCCAGCGGAGATGTGCGCCTTCAACAACGCCTCTCAGAGCTGGTTAAACTTCCCTCTTTAACCTGTCAGGAACCTGTCAGTACCAGGAGCCGGCACTCACGCCTCAGGGGCCGCCCGGCCTGCGCGGAGCCAGAGATAACGAAGGCCTGTCGGCCCCCCCGCAGCAGGAGAGAGAGAGAGCAGGCGGGGGCAGAGTTTCGGCATGCCTTTGAACAGCCTCTCTCTTCCTCCTCTGCTCGAGTGGTTCTGCTCTCCTCTCCAGCTCCTGGCCAGGCAAGAGAGGCAGGGCTGTGGCGCGGGCTGGGTGAGAAAACGGCTTTGTGAGATCAAAAGAGAAGTGAGAAGTGTTGGTTAGGGCTCTTTTTTATTGTTGCTGTTTTGTTCCTTTTATTTCTTGTTTTTTTTTATTGGTTCCCTGTGTGTTTTTGGAGAAGAATCCAAAATTATAAACTTCTGAAGTGTTGTCCCTTTCCCCAGCTAGAAGCAAATTTAATAAATGTGAGGGAAAAGAAACGCTCTTTAACTCGACAGCTCGCTGTTGTGTAGCAGCACCGAAGATCAAAGCTGTTTTGGGTGAATCTCCACTGTCAGAGCAGGGCCAGGGCTGTTTCTCTGTAGTTTTCCTATGTGCTCCTCATCTCGGTGTTCAGCAATTAGTTGCTTCGTTTCTTGGCATCTCCTCATGCCTGTGTGTTTAGCACTGATCGTTCTTGCATAAAGTCACTTTAACCTATAATCTTGACAGGCTGCGAATCTCTGTCGAACATATCAAGGTGCAGTACTGCTCGCCAGAAGAGAGCAATAAACATCTGCAGTGGCATCAGAAACACAAGACTCGGAGAGCCGAGTTGTGGCTGGAACACAGAGATTGATTGAGATCGGGGATGAGCAAGCCAGATTGCTCAAGAGCAGAGGATGCTCTGGCAGTCCAACTCTGGTTTTAGTTACTTAATTGAGCTAATTGATTAGATCGAGATGTCAAACTAGATGTTTCAAGTCTTAACCAGGTGATAACTGCAGAGTTCCTGTACACACCGTGGGGCTGTGCCCATCCTTGCTCTTGATAGGTTAATAGGTTTTGCAGGGCAATGATCCCCGTAGCTGAGTGGACAGGTATCGTAAAATATCTGCATTATAGTTCTCAGTGTTTTTTTTTTCTGCATCCCATTCTTCTTTAGGCTCTCTTGTGTTCTGGTGAGCAGCCAGTCAGAAATGTGTCTCCCATTTTCCGAGCTGTGTGTTCCAAGCTCTGCAATCTATTCTTCATGTTCCAAAGGGAGCATAAAAACCAGCAAATGTAGCGGAGGGCTCACTACCGACCTGGCTTAATCGCCTCTGCTGTCTGCTTGTTTGATTCATGGCAGCCAAGCAGCAGAAGACTGCAGGAGCGAGGGAGGCCTCCGACGACGACGACTTCTTGGCCGACCTGTCAGACATGAGCAGCGAGGGTGAGGAAGGTGGAGAGGGAGAGTATGAAGTGGAGGGAGACAGTGATGAAGAAGACGCTTTTGGGGAAGACGATGCAGGTAAGAATGGCCTTAATCCTGTCAGATTATAGGAGCAAAAACTCAAGAAAAGGCTGATTTCAGTACATCATCCCCCATACTTCCTTTTCGATCAACCTTTCGGCAATTCAGGGTGAAATTTTCTTTTAGTTTATCCATCACGAGTAAACACGTGGTATTCACAGGCAGAAGGATCTTCTGATTTTAATGTTTTTTTTCTCTCTGAACTCGTACAGTTCTCCTTAGAATTGGATTTGCCTCTGTGTCAGAAGGTGCTGTGTGAACAGCAGTATTCAGAAGATTGCTTGCAGCCTTTTGCGAGTTCTTGTTTAATGATTAAAAACCATTCTCTGCTCATTCTGAGAACAGTTTTGTCAGGTATGGCTTCAAAAGCTTCAGGTTCAGCAGCATCTGCACAGCTTTTCTTTTTTCTGTGCTCTCGTCTGGCGTCTCCACAAGTTTTCACCTCCCCCATCACACAACAGCACTTCAGTTTTCGTCCCTGAAGGCCTCCCGGTTTTTAAGCCCTCCCTGCGTTTGTTGTTAAACGCGTTCCTGTCTCCTGCAGATGAGGAAGAGGAGAAGAACCAGCCATCCAAGGGGAAGGCAAAGGCCAGGCCCCCGAAGAAGCTGAGCCAGCGCGACCTGGAGGAGCTGGGTCACGGCGACGAAGACATGGTGGAGGACCTGGTGCTGTCAGATGAGGATTAACTGAGATTTCCTTGTCTCAGTCTCCGTGAACTGTAGAGCACCTCTGCACAGCAGGTTTGCTGGGGGAAGGGGGACTTCCTGTGCTACATTCACACCTCCAGCCCTGTAACCAAAACCGCGGGCTTACAGACCTGCGTGTGGTTTTGTATTGTTTCAGGCAACTGCCTCCTGTATTATATTTCCTGATTGCCATTGTTTTATTTTTTTCTTGCCTATGGTAATTTAAACTTGTATCTTTGCAAATGAACATTTCTTTCATAAAAACACATGGAGAAGAGGGCAGTTAACGGCTGTGGTTCTGTGTTCGCTAGATGACACTGCCATCGCTGGCAGCTCCAGTCGCTTAAGTGGTGTCCACAAAAGCTGAAGTGGTCTAGTCCTGTGAGCCTGGCGCTGCATGATACTTGAAGGGGCTGTGGCGTTTGATATGGCACCTGGTGTCATGAGGGTTCTGAAAGGTGTCAGTTAATACTGTCAAAATGTATGGATGTTGTGCAATGAAGCAGGAGAGCACAGCGATGTGCTGGCTGGTATCAGGCGGGCTGGGAGTGTTGGGTGTTTGTATGAGCGCTCGGGGATCGCGGGTGCAGATCTTGACAGGAGCTGTGTGGTTTGCAGTAGCACTCCCTGCTGTGAACGCAACGCTAACACTGCTGCGGCACCATTGCATCGGTGTGATGATAAACTCCTGCGGACTGCGGAAGGAAAGGGCTGCATTTTGAGACGCGTGCTTTTAGCCGCTTGGCACTAGGACTTTGTCCACATAATGTCCCACTATCCCAGTGGTTACCAAATATGTGATCAGCTCCCTTCTTAGGCGGTGTGTGTTCTGCTGTATCTGGGTGAAGAGCTGCTGTCAGAACCCTGCCCTGGTCTGAGCTGGACACCAGGGAGCAGCTGCAGTGCAGGTCAGTGTGCAAGACAGCAGGCCCGCTGCTGTTCTGCACTGAAAGACCCGTGTGCTGCGCTCACAAGTCCTGGTCACCCTCTCCCTGGCACACTTTCTGCTTGGCCTTGGTGAAGCGGGAGTTCAAATAAAAGTAAAAATGTGACTGTTATACAGAGAGGCACTAAAAACGCAACACATTCTACTGCATGCAGTAGTTGTTAGTTGCAATTTAAATGCTTTGCAGTACTGTTGAACACTGGTTTTGGTGACAGGATTTATTTTATGGGCTGTAAAGAAGCAAGTAGGCAAAACATAGGTGGCAAATTTACAGACTGTTTAATTAACATTGTTTACGTTTCAAAGAAATTCCAAAACGAACAACTTAAAAAAAAATTGCATAAAGAGCTTGGTGTATTATCTCTTCCCCATGACGAGACAAAACGAGGAAGAGCACCATTATTATGTTAAAGATTGATCCTCACCATCCACTCTGGGGATGAATACATAATGTATAATGTCAACCTACAACAAAAAATGTCATAAATATTTTTTGTTTTACTATTTGCTATGAAGCAGCATTTGAGGTGGGGCTTTAATATTACATTAGAAATAACTTTATCAAACAATTTAGGAATAAAACAAAAAAAAGTACCACCAAGAGTTAGCAAGTCAGATTTTGTTTTAAAAAAAATCGAAAGAAATACGTGCAACTACACATAACAAAAAAGTACCACTTATGTAATGTTCAGTTTTTTTTGTTTGTGTTTTGCACATGACTGTACAAGTAGGTAGGGTGTCTCACCCCACAGTAGTTAACGTTGGCGTGTAAAGACATCTGTCGGGTTAGAGATCCAAAGCTGTGATCCATAGTCTCACTGATCACCTCTGTGATGAGGCACTTCTCGTGTCCCGTCTGCAGGCAAGGGGAAGCAGATCCCAGGGTTGGTGGCTGTCGGGTCAGAGAGGGGGGGTCACCCCTCTCCCTGTAGAGTCACAGTACTGGCTGGTGCCCTCGTGCTCCTGGAAAGCTGGCTGCCCTTTTGTTTCTTAAACTGTCCTTTCAGCCAAAACAAAACAAGGACCCGGCGTTCCCAGCCAGCAGCAGCCCCGGCCATACCAATCCACTGTAAACATGGATCACATCCTTTTTGTAATCTTTGGTATTGATCCTTTGGAATGCATAGTTGCCAAAATTGTGGAACTCCGGTTTTTTTTTTCTTTTGCGGGTGAGGATTGTACATGATGAAGGGATGAACCGCGTTACGAAGCAAAGTCTGCCACCACCCCCCCCTTTGAAAACTTGTTTTGTGTTTTATGTGCCCAAAAATGTTCGGCACGGGCCATCCCAGGAAAAGACACGTTTCCTTCAGCTTCTGTCTGCCTGACAGAAGAATTTTTTTTTGTCATTTTTTTTTTTGGCAGGCTGTTAAAGACCAGCTGTCTGCTCTCTCTCTCTCTCTCTCGCCCGCGCGCGTCCACCCCACTTCCTGTCTCTGTACTTATCCCAGCACAACCCCTGACTGCAGCAGTGTTTGGGTTCTGCAGCCTTTGAGAATTTCTGAAGGTGACAACTTCTTTTCTGTCCAAACAAAAAGGTCATGTGCCCCTGGTCAGGGCTCTGCGCAGGCCATTCAGGGTCGGCTCGCTCGCGGGGATGCAGCTGCGCCTCCTGCTGCTCCGGCCCTCCCCCTCCCTCCTCCCTCTCCCCCCCCCCCCTTTGTTTTAAGACGGCGGTTTTGTGATGTCGCCGATTCCCGCGGAGGAAGAGTTTCCGTTCTCCTGCTTGGGCGAGATGCGGCTGGGGGGCAGGACGCCGTAGGGGGAGGCGACGCTGCCCGTGGAGGGCGGGCGGATCTCGGAGGCGGGGGGCTCCCGGTCTGGGGGGCGCAGAGCAGGTGGCTGCAGAGGGAAGGGCAGGGGGAAGCTGGTCATGTACAGCACCCTGCCGATGCGCTTGGCGACCTGCGGAGACAACCAGCGGCACACAGTCAGGAGAGCCACCAGGCGGAGTGGCACAGTGCCACTCTCACGGGAAAGGACAAGGCTGGGTGTTCTGTTCAAAAGTGTCCCTTTACCCAGCTGCTCCCTTGTCTTGTTCCTTAATTAAAATAGGCACTCAAGCTAGCAAGCATAGTCTGCCCACTTCAGCAGGAAAACTAAGAGAAACTCAGCTGCCTCATTACAGAAGTTATTTTTTTTCCCGGTCCTGCTGAGAAGTGGATTTACATTATTTTCAGTTCACACTGGATTGTTACAGAAGGCTTTCCTGATGGCTGTAAAGTAAAGCACAGAGCCTTGCCATTGCTACAGTGTGCCCCTATATAATCATAGACATGGTACATCAGCGTCTCTGAGGTCCCCCCACCCCAGTATTTTTCTAACTACCAGATTAGAAAGAGTTAGTACATTATGATTGTGTTTAGTTCAGCGGGTGATTAAACTGGGTAAATTTAAATCAGAAATGATTTTGAAAAAAAAAATCTTGATTACTCTTCGGCACACAAATGATTCTTGTTTTCTTAACGGATCATTAACCTTACAAGGATAGGGGTTCCCCTTTGCCGGAACCAGGAGATGCAACTGTGCGCCTAACTTTTAAACTATGACGGCAGCGACCCCAGCTGTTTTAAAGGAGTTGGCGTGAGCTCAGGTCTGCAGTGCTGTCCAGACCAGAGAGTGCGTGTCGAGTCCAGCTCGGGTGGGTCTCGCGGGTCGGCGAGCGGTACCTGGGAGCGGATCTTCAGTGCAGGGCCCAGCTTCAGGCCCATGTTGTTCAACAGGTGCTCTTCTGTCAGGAGGGGCAGGGTCTCGCCATCGATGGCCTGCTCCCTGAAGACCTGTATGGGCAAAGGCGGACTTGCGTCACTCCGCTGGCTGGAACACAGGCGCCTTGTTCACTTTCTGCCTCTCATTACAAGAAGCCACAAGAACACGAGGGGAAGCAAAGGTGTGAAGGGCCATTTCACCATTGTCAACCACACCATTAATATGTCACTCAGCAACAGCTGTTTTATGTCCATTCCACTACTGCATGTGTCTATAGACCCTGATGGTTTACTCATTAAAAATCCACAGATGCACATTCATTTACATTCATTGATGGGGGGTGTGTGACAGGGACAGGGATCTAAATCCTGCCTTAGTTCCTCCCCAGGATTACTCTGTACTGTTGTTAAAATAAAAATATGTTCTTCAGTTGTGCTGTCAGCTGCCGTATTTCTGACTCTCCCACTGAACTTGACTGAACAGCTGTTCTTAATTCCCTGCCATCTTGTGTTAAGTCCTGTCACACATCCCTCCCACAAAATGCAAGCAACAACAAAATAAAATATAAGCTTTAACACTTTGCTGCACCTTAAAACTGCGTTGCACTCTGGTTAAAGGTGATCATATTTTGATGTTGCTTGCTTGTCTATTCCTGCTGGTCCTCACATCCCTTCTAAAGGCCACTGGTCTTAAGAGTAAAACAGCCGACCCAGAAAGATTAGTAGGATCACTTCTGTAGTTACGCATTTAGCCTACAAAAGAAAAGCAGGCCGTACCAGATACTGCACTGCACTGGCATGCACCAGGACTGGGGCTTGGACAGCTACTGATAGGGTGTGGGATTCTGAGGGGTTTTCCAGAGTTCATCTGTTCTTTGCCCACCCCCTCACCTGTGTGTACTCACTGCAGCCAGACAGGCTGCTGACGAAACTGCAGACATCATCCACCGTCCACTTGCTGATATCCTCCACAGCTCCAGCCTCCTCCCCATCCAGAAACAGACCTCCCATAGCGCCTGGGGGATGTCAGAGGAAGCATAAATCACTGGGAGCCCACATGGACAGCAGGCCCACGAGCAGAATGTTCTTCCTCTGAACCACACATCTACATTAATGATCCCCTCTATGAGAGAGTTCAGCAGGGGTCAGTTCCTGGGCCTTTTCCTGCGGGAGGTCTCTATGCAGGAAAGTCCCTGCTAATGTGTTTCATATGGCAACTGTGCCACAGCTGCAGGAGACAGCGGAGAGAAGCCAGACCGATGTCTGCCCCTTTAAAAACCGAGGTTAACCTGTCCTACTGTAAGTGCTTAAATCTTGTAGATATTTTATATTCTGTTTCTGTGCTAATGTTCCCCATGCAGACTTAGTTTTGGTCAATTCAGGCCAGTAGTGGCAGGAGTTGGCATCGGAAAGTTAAATGCACATTTATGATCACAAAGTATATTAGACATGTACAATACCAACCTTAAAACAACAAGGCCCACTATGATTACAGTTACCACAAGGGTAGGGAATAATCTTAAAACTTTGGAGTTGCAAAATCTTTTTTTCTTTGTAGGCACTTCACTATATTTGAAAATGTTTTTTAAATGTGAATCTTCTAAATGATTTTTCCATTTTCCTTTGGTTGGAAGTCTTAAAGCGTACTCGAGCAGATTCCTCCTAAGCATGCTCGATGTGTCTGTCATTTTAAACAGAAATCAAGGAGTGCTTCTTCCTCATACCTCTATAAGACGAGACAGAGTCAGTGAGCTGAGACCCTTGACCCTGGGGGTAAAGACAGAGCTCAGAAGTGCACAGAAAGATTAACTCTCACCTCTTGAGCAAATCTCAATGTCAGACTCAGAGTTGATCTGTCTTTCAGCCTCAAAGTTAGTTACTTTCTCACTGTCATGAGGCGCCAACATTTTCCTCTTAAGAACTCCATCCAGACTATTGGAAAGAGCAAGAGAGAACTGTTTCCTATCCAGCACTTTTTTTTCAAGCAGTAAAAAGGGGGGATCTGCCTTTTTTCTGCTCCAAATGAGCAGCGTCTCTCAGTAATGCAAGTCCAGCCGAGTGGAAAGTCAGCGAGCTGGGCGATGAGTAAGGAATGGGGGAGCCTGATCGTGTTTTTTCATTTTTATTTCAAAAGGAAAACACACACTGCCGTCTCTGCCACTGACTCATCCCGTCTGAAGTTAGAAAAACCTCTTTAAAGCATCTCCAATGTGTCAGACTGGACTGAAACGTGGAAAAAGTTAAGCTCTCCCACACTAAAAATGAACACAAATGTTTTGACAGACTGTCATCTGTTGAGAGCATTGGAAGAGGGGACTATTTCTGGCACAGCGTCTTCTGCCAAGCCTTTTGTCCATTCGTTCAGCAACACGAGGGGGGGTTTATGGTCATGTGTTAGGACAGACCACTTCCCACTGTCTACTGCACGCTAACTCTGCAAATGAAAATCTCCACTTCTGCTTGTGAAGTTCAATCTATACTGTTCCACCGAGGCTACATCCTTGCAGACAGAACCACTGGTGCACTTAGCAGACACTGCTGCTTTGTGATCTAGAGTGAGGTAGCTGTGAAACTGCAGACCGAACTGATGGCACCCCCTGTCTGAACTGGGACAACTCACATGGTACCTTTGCTTTGGTACCTTAGATGTCAGAATGGATTATTTCCCAGAAATCACTGCTGAAGTACAGTTCAATAAACTAAATTGTGAACAGCACTGTTTCAAGCGGTGGTGCCAACACTTTTGCCTGTGGGTAAATCTGTATGGAAAATACAGATTCATGTATGCAAAAGGCTCTCCCAAAACCCGGCTCTTCAAAGACAGTTCTGACTTTTTACTTTACCAGTCAAGCACTCGTGGAACTGCAAGAGGAACCCTCTCCGTCACTCGTACCCGTTTTATTTTTTTTGCAGGTATGTGCTTGCAAAGCATCCTGACTCTTTCAGGCCACATTAGCCAGGATGAAAAGGGCTGCCCTCCCAGAGCCTGGTTTTGGTGCCCCTTCCCCCCCCCATGTCTAAAGACGGGTCCAGGCGTACCTGCGTGGAAGTAGGGCCCGGCGGTGTAGGGGAACCCGAAAGGCAGAGGCTGGGGTGGCAGAGGGGGGGCGGCCCCCGGCGGCAGGTATTTGGCTTCGCTCTTGTTGATTCCCGGAGCGAAGGGGTGGTGGCTGGGAGACTCGGGCCCCAAGGACCCGCAGGGGGCGCTCTGCCTGCCGGAGACGTCGCTCGGCTCCTTCCCGCTGTCGCAGGGCTTGGCCGCGTCCTTGCCCGGGCCGAGGTCGGAGGTCAGAGGGGTGCCGTCCGGCTTGGGCAGCCCCTCGGCCCGGTCCTCGGCGACCTCGGCGTCGCTCTCCGAGTCCTTCATCTCCTCGTCCTGTCCGTCCGCCGAGCCGTCCCGCGCCCGGCCGTCCCCTAGCGGGTCCTTTGCCTCCGGGGGGCCCTGCGGGTCGCTCCGGTGGTGCCCCCCTTTCCGGGAGCTCTTCCGCGCCCCGGCTTCCTTGGGCGGCGTGCTCCCCGGCGCGCCCTGGTGGCCGAGGGAGAGCAGCGGCGTGCTGTTGTGCCGCAGCACCAGCATGGCGTTGCGGCGGGTGAGCTCCTCGCGCAGCGGGTGCCCCTCGGGGATGTCGTGCAGGCTGCGCAGGGCCGGGTGGTCCGGGGGCAGGCCGGGGTGCAGGGCCAGGGGGTCGGCCATCAGCCTCTGCCGGTGCAGGTTCTCCAGCTCCTTCTGGCGCAGCAGCTCGGCGGACATCTCCAGCCTGCCAGCGACACGGGCACAACGGCGGCGGTGAGAGGCGGCACAGCACCGCGCCAGCGGGCACGCGCTCTCGCTGACTGTTTGCACAACACTTATTACTTATTCTGGGGGAGAGCGCAACAGTCCCAGTGTGGCTGCTGGCTCGGCTACACTAGGGCTCGGTTTAGCACGTCGCCTGGTTCAGCACTGTGAACCTCGGACAGGTGCAGCCGGACGAGAAGAGAGGAGAGCACGTAGGGGGTTAGGAGCGGCACGAAAATCGCCCCCAAAGAAAAATTAAGGCGGCCTTTGCCATGCAGAGGAGGCATTTCTGAAGTGAGTGGCGTCTGAAGGGCTCTGTGCTGCACCGGATCTATACGAGAATTCCCAGAAGCGGTGCCGGGCCCGACCTCTGTGAACCCATCAGAAAGTGTGGAAAAGCCAGATCAGGTGGCGAAGGCAGATAAGAGAGCGAAGGGCTCAGATGTAATTCCCAGACTCTGCTGTAATGTGCCTGGACATGCAAGTCTATCTGATAGCTGCGGGTAGATCAGACAGCAAATTAGGCGTTGATAAAAGGTTACGTTTTAATTGTGCAAGTCCTCTGTGAGAGACATCCTGAGAAAATCTCTCTCGGACTGCTTTGTGATTTGCTTCTCTCTCTCTCTCTGTGCTTATAATGAGCAGCCTGCCTGACACCAGCCAGAGGCTATGCGGATCGGCCAGTGGAGCAGTCAGGGAGAAAAGCCCATACGAACCATTACAAAATGCTTAACACGTGTCAGCTTAGTTTTAGGCTTAGCGTCCCCTGAAATTTTAAATTCAATACCATGTGCATGCCGCAGTTGTTACGTTCTCCTTATCTGGGAATCCATGGTTATAAACGTTGATGCACCACTATAAAATGTGAGCTTTTTCTGTGCTGTGAAGTCTCCCCCTACCTCGCAAGGTTCTGTTTCCTCAGCATCTCCTGCTGTCGGGCGAACATCTCTGCCTGTGCCGGTTGCAGAAACCCATAGCCTGTGGATAACAAGATCTGGCATTATTATCTGGCTGCTGCCATTACACAAGGCACTGGGTATAGAGACCTGTCTGGTTGCTGCAAGGCTGTATATAGCACCTCGCAGGACAGCACAGCTCATTCCCAACACACCTTTCAACACCGGAGCTGAGCACTGGCTCACAGGCTTCTGTTCACCCTGGCTCTGTACCAACACGTTCATGCCTCAGTGTAGAGCCCTAAAGTACTAGTGCCTGTATCCTCATATTTGGCATGATGTTCAAAGAGAACACAGATAACTGTAAGAGTGGCATGTTGACGGCGCAGGAGGTTAAAAGTGAGAACTGACGGCACCTCTTGAGAGCCTTTTCCACCTCTGATGAAAGTGATGGAAAAATCAAACCTCTTTCTGCGAAATACAGCTTCCCGTCCTTCAGATAAAGTTAAAAAAAAAGTTTCCATTCTGAAACTGTGGGCCTGTCTAAAGACCCCTGCACTCCCCCCGCTCCCCATACTACCACAAATTTCTACACCCCTGACTTTCCTCACTGTTTCCTGAAAACTACATGGGCAGCAGTTTCTGAAGAACTTGAGAAAGCTGTGGAGCTCCCGGCCGAGTTCTTTCGCAATCCGAAGTGCGAGGGGCCGTGGGGGTCGACCACTCCAGTTCTCGGCCGAAAGGCGTTTTTCACAGGCATTTCCAGTGAAGATTCACACACGAGTAACGAGAGACGTGCGTGCGACTGGTGGTAACGTCGCACACAGGTTTTGTTCGGAGGAGGAAAGTAAGTCTCTCTGCAAGTTCCTGGAGCTCAGTATCTGCACTTTAAACCACACCGCACCACAGACCTCGGCCTGATATCTGTTCGGTGGCAGAGCAAACAGTGGGTGAAAGAAGGAAGATCGTCTAACCACTCCATCTGTTATGTGAACAGATCAGTTTTGTGTAGCTGTTGCGTCGTTTTCTTTGTGGACAACATACTGCGTTTTATTTTAATCGCTATAAAGTTTAGATTGGCTGCATCTGTGCTAGAGGTCCCAAGGTCACCTTCTAAGATGTGGTTTTTAAGAAGGCCAAGTGCGTTTTATCTCCGAAAAGACAGTTTTAATGCATCAGATGTTTAAAACTGTCCTCCAGGATACAGATTTTTTCTAAACTGACTGAATCGGATTCAATCATTTGGGGATCTTGGGAAGCAAAGGTCTTTTAATTACACTGATGGACCATTTAATATCATTTAGCCCTTTCTTGTATCGTCACCTCATATAATGGCGCCTGTGCACTTGCATTTGCTCATGATGCTGTTTCCTGGAGAAAGTCTACAATCCAAAGAGCCACACATTTTGAAATCACCCTTAGGTATCTTGGGTTTTCGCATAAATCAGTGTTAATTTATACATCCTACACTCACCATTTGAGCTCCATGACAATCTCAAATAAACCCTTAATTTTTTTACCCCTTTCAAAGTAATAGGAAAAGAGCTAATTACCTGGAGCCTGGCACAGTGCTGAGGGCACGCCCAAGAAAGGGGGCCGCAGGTGGGGTCCCAGTGCTATGTGGGGGGCATTTTGGGGTGACAGCAGGGGGGGTGGGTGAGAGAGATCCCTGTGGAAGAGAGACACAGACCACTGTTAATTTCACACACATGACATGCAGTATAAAAATGGTGAGCTAGTCCATGAAGTTCTCCTACAAAGCTGGGAACACAGACATCTTCATATTTATATATTTCTATATATACTGTATATACACACACACAAGTGTCCTTACACACAAGTCCAAGTCTTAGATGCTGCATACATGCATATCAAACCAATTGATCTGCTCCTTTCACCCAGATGAAGGTTTCTTCTCCACCATCAGAAGCATCAGAGTAAACCTACAATTTAGTTTTTTTTTCATATTCTCCTGCATATCTGCAAATACTACACAGCAATTTCTGTGAGTGCGTGACTAATGTTTTCACAAAGAGAGAAGAGGCAGGGGATTCAGCATGAAGACCGATTTCCAGCTATCAGTCTGCTAGCAGAAGCAAACAAGTACAAATACCCTCATTCTCAAACCTAGCTAACAAAGGCGGGAACATGAGAGAAAACAAACGACTCTTAGTAGCTGGGTGCTACTGTCCTGCTCTGGGAGTGCAGATAATTGCGGACAGTTAGAGGTATCAGCACCTCACTGAAAACTTACTAAGTCATTCCTCTCGGACGCTGTGTGTCGGAGAGCCTGCAATAATATGCAGTACGCGTACATGACATCTGTATACAAGCACACACATACGCAGGCTACATGCGACTGCCTTCTCTAGCCAATCTGAACCCTGAGCCCTTCTTAAGACTTCCCTCCTTCTGGGGATCAGCATTCAGGCAGCTCTTCTGCACAGGCCTTCCCATCAGTCTTGTCATGTTCTGACCGCTGGCTGTTTGTACTGAGGATTGTTTTGAGACCTCTATCCCCCCCCCCCACCTATAATGAGTGCTGAATGCACAATAGGAGCTTGTCATAGTCAGACAGCTGGAAGAATGCTGCTGCCGGGGCTCCGACTGCAAGCTGAAGGGCTTCCTAATTAACACGCTTCTCTCTCTCTCTCTCTCTTCCTCCTCCTCGCTCGCTCTCGCCTGCCCGTTAAGCCTCTGAAAAGGTGGGGTCCTTCCAGCCCTTGAGCAGAGCAGTAATTAAAGTTTTTCTTTTCCTCGGTCCTAAAAGACTGTCTCCTTCTCTGCCCTCCTACACAAATCTGCATTGTGAGGGCACTTGGACAAGAGTGAAGCGGGACTGAATGAAAAAAATATGTGAATTTATCCTCTGGGGTGGGGGGTGGGGGGGTCATGATCATTTCTAATTGCGTTTGCACCACCTCCCCCTTCTGAAAGCAGTGGCCAGTGGACAAATACTTGCTGAGAGGTGCTAGAAATGTTGTGGGGAGCTGCGTGTGAATATCCTGTTTCCCTGGACCTATCCTATTGCTTCTCTCCGCCTTCACTGTTTTCCACACCTCGGCACGCAACGCCACTTCACAGAGACCCCGGGGATCACTGCCGAGCCCTGCGCCGTTAAGTTTCCGCGCAGAACAGCCGAAGAGAGCAGAAGAAAATCGCTTAAGGCTAATGGGGGGAGAAGGGAACTAAATTCTGAAAACCGTCTAGGTAGCACATAGAAAACACAAGCATGATCAGGAACAAATAATCATCAGGACTCAAAGCTGTCCCCAAATATTAATTTCCCCCCCTGCTTCAATCACTTGCTTCTGGGCTAATTGCGTTCCACATGCGGCTGAAGAGGCAGAGGAGAGCGAGGAGGGAAGAAAATCATTGATCGATCCACTGCTGTTGAAATGTTAATGCTAATCGTATAACCGGCCCGCCAGCGCCTTGCACTTCAGTGGCAGCTCCAATTAATCTCGGGGAACGCAGCTCGTGACCTTCGGCTGGGAGCCGGGGCAGCAGCCAAGCGATGCTTATGTAATTACACTGTGAAGTGTGTAATCACCTGGCCTACTCCCTCAGGCCTCACAATTAGCCGGGGCCGCGGTCACCAGGGCTGCCAAGCGCCGCACAACCCCGGACAGCCTGCAGATGAATAACGGTCAATTAAAGCTGCATGACGGAGGCTAGGAGGCGTCCGTTCGATCGTAATTAGCTGTAATCATGGGGAGACGTGCCCGGCAGACGTGCTGTTAGTTTTATAGGAAGCAATTTAGGAATGAGGCAGGGATTAACCATTTGTTTCGCTTCTCGGTGGACTCTGCAGCAGGCAGAAATGAAGCGGAGATGGTGATTTCTGCAGCAGGCTCTATCCCCCCCCCAAGTCTAACTGTTCTTTTCTATTGCAGGCCTATCAGGGTTGCACAGGAGTGCACACAGATTAGAAATTAAGCAGTTAGGATATTCATTTCTATACATGCTATACGTATATCCATAAAACTACACTCAATTTTTCAGAACCTATAGAGCAAATTACAAGGCGAACAGAAAAGCCATTTTTTCGTGTATTCATATTATCCTCAATACCCCCAAGTGGTAGAGTATCACGTTCAAACAGCCAGGTCCTGGGCGTTAGTCTTAAACAAGTACTTTTGAAAAACAACACAGAGAGACAGAATGAAGAAGGGCAGGTTTCAAACAAATGTCAGCTCTTTTTCTGTTTTTGATAACAACCAAAAGCGCACCTTCAGCGTCAATGTTTCCTTTATCACTTTGTAAAGAGTGGTTCTAACGGCTTGTTTGCTCTTTGTTAACCTTTGAAAACAAACCTGCTCTGCACTGCCTTTGGCATGAACTAACGCCCTCAGTTTTGCAATTCTCTTTATTATGGGAATACAAAAATACATATTCGCTTGGCTGTTAGTTTGACAGAGTAACTCCCTTTCCGTGGCGTTTGTGAGAAAGGACTGGTGGGACTGCGTCTATAAATGTGACTGCGGGATTAAGGCGATGGCTCTACAGGAGCACATTTGCAAAGGAAGCTTATAAAAATGTATGAGTCTCTCTTCCCCAGACCACTTGTCTGTTCTAGCTTCTCGCTCGCATGCCAAGCACATTAGGATCTGCCTTGCAGATTGTTCAATGTGATATGCCATTTAGGCCGAGACAAATGGCTTGCAAGGCTTTAGAATTATCGATCCCCGTAATGATTTGTTTTTAACAATAAGCGCTAATGGCCTTCAGATAATCAATTATGAAAAATCGATGTAAGGTTGTGCTCCGGCTTGAAAAATGGATGGGGAGCCTCTTCTTTTAACCCTTTTAGCCAGACGTTCAGACAGCGGTGTAATGAGCAACCAAGGCTGCTGTCCTCTCGCAATGTCAGAGAGCAACCGGATGGCGTCTAACTCGGCCACATGGGAGATTTCTGAAAACTCGAAACCTTCTGCAGCTTCCGAGACCGTGCTCTGGAGCTCTGCACGGGCCGACGCCAGTAACACGCTTTTAGAAACCGTGCCCCAGGATTGTGCACAGACCTGCATCTGTACCAGGCGTGTTAACACTACACTCTAGATTTCTGCTCAGACGAGTGTCTGTCACGGGTTTTTACTTCATCGTGTACTTGTCAAACTCTTTTTCCAATTCCACTACACTGTCATGGGGATACTTCGAAAGAGGAAAAGGGAGAATAAAAACTTGCAGCTTATAACATTAAGTTATAAATGGAGTTAATGATGAACACTCCAGTGTTTGAGGGTTTCAAATATCACCACTGATTCCAGAGAGGGGCGGAAGGAGTTTTCTTCTTAATAACAGGTAAAGACGTTAAGAGCTCAGGAAAGGGTTAAAAAAGGATAAAGAGAGAGAAAAGAAAAGAAACCATCCTCCTTCCTCCCCCCACCTCCACCGTATGTAGCCCTGGCTAATACACCACAGTCCTGTGTGGCTAATTATTCTGTACAGCAAACCTGCAGCGGTTCACAGACCAGCCTGATCCCTGCTGAGCTCCCGACAGGAAGCACAAATGGAAATTTAACACCGCCACCCTGGGCGGCCCGGCTTCCTCTCTCCTCACCCATTATTGATACTCGGGCTCGCCGCACTACATAAATAATCGACAGCCAATTACCCGCCGCTCCCTGCCGCATGCATTTCGTTTAAAAGTGGTTGAGGGGGCTGCAGGGAGGCCGGGGCCGGTCCGCTCTGCCCCGAGCTCTGGCGGAGCTCTTCTCCATCACTCGGTCCCAATAAGATGAAACCGAACAGGAACCCAACGTTGTGAAAGCGAATTGGCAAAGCCTATTAACTAGATTGTCGTCTTTCATTTAATTTTATTCCCCACAGTGCATAATCTAAACTTTATTTGTCTTCCAATTCTGTGCTTTTTCCTCTCCTCTTTAAATATAAATATCTAAAGCGTTCACAGTATAAGCAGGCAAATAAGGTCTTTTTTCTATTTGTACATCTTCACAAGCGCATGCGGAACCAATTTTAAATTGACCACTTTTGAGTCACACGCCCCTCTAACAGCTACAGAATTCACTCTTCAAGCTAAACTGACCCTAAAGAGACAATTACGTTCTGCATTAGGATAAAATGCAGCAAATGTTTTTGTTGCCTGGGTATTGAGCCATTCAAATTAAAATACTGCATACATGCCCAGATTGTGGTGCCAATCAGAATTATTTATCCTGTCCAGGAAAAGGGAACACATCTCTGTTCTGACTAAGCAGCACCTAGAGTCAGCTAGGAGGCAGTACAAATACTTAGTCAAGGGTGCACTTAATATAGAATGGGTTTGTCAGGATATGATGTCAACAGCGAAAAAAAAAATTAAATACTGTGTCAGTAAGTGGAATAGAGTATACCAATATGAAAAACATCAACTTTTATTTAACAATAAATTATTTTGTTGTTTTAATGTCTATTACAGCTGTTTTTGCACCCCATCTCCAATGCCATGCTAAGCTGCTTTAAGAAACAGGATCTGGGAGCCAAACGTTTATCCTCTCACAGATGTTTGTGAATCTCAACTGCTGCTTTCCACATGTAAAGGCCTGCTCTACATGTTGTTTTCCTCCAAACGTCCTGTACTGCAGAACAGGAACATGCAGGGTCTGGAGAGGTTTGGCTATGACTACGTGCCAGGCCAAGTCTCATGGTCAGTGCTTCAAAACATCTGGTTATATATTAGTTCCAGTCCCCACGACCACTGCCTGCTTTGCAGAAAAGCAACTGAAATCCGATGAGTGATACTGTATTATTTTCACCACCAAAAGCAAAAATCCCAACCCTAAAAAACAGTTTTTACTTTGTTGGGTTTTCCGAAAAACACTCTGTCCTAACTCCAAGCCTGCTCTGCAGATTAGTCATTTTACGGGAGGGGGCGAAGTAACAGCCGCCAAATAAAACCAAGCCTTTGCTCTGGATATTTGCTCAAGAAAATAATTTGGTCAGATGTGCTTGTGGAAATCTGGGCTACACCGCCCTAAAAAGGAAGAGAAACCGAGGGCACTGAAACAATATGAACCTTGACACCGAGCGTAGTCTTGGACACTGTCTTAGCTTTCACGTAGGAGGGATCCCTTCTTCCACCGCTGGAGCGGCACACAGCGGCCCCGCTGCACGCGGGGCAGGGGCAGGGGCAGGGGCAGGGGCAGGAGGGAGTGCCGCACCAGGGGGGACGGCAGGAAGAAGGGAGAGAGGGGGAGGGAGGGACGGCGTACCTCTCGGAGAAGTGTGCGTCGCGGTGCTGCGGCAGGCCCTGTTTCCTGCGCTGGCTGGACGAGCTGCCGGCCGAGGGCAGGTGAGCCTCCATGGCGCCGGGGTTCCTCACCACCGCCACCGCTTCCTGGCGCGCGCGCAGGAGGTCTGCCGGGCAAACACAAGAGGGCGCGGAAGGTCAGCGCGGTCCGGTCCAGAGCACGGCGCGGGCCGGGCCGGGCCCACTCTGGCCCTCTCGCCCAGCACATTCACCCCAATCATTTCCATCACGTTTTACCACGCAGGCCTGTACTGAACCCGTCACTAACACCAGCATGGAATCTGTCCACCCTGAAGCCCCCTTTCCCCCAGCACAGCGCCTCTGACTGAGGAGGGGGGCAGTTACATCTCGGTTTTGTATCGGAAGGACCACTTATCATGACAAGCAGAAGAAACAGGTAAGTGGCTGGTATAATCCACTGTACGGACCGGTGTGAGACACACACTAGGTCTCTGCCCAGGCTGTGCCAGGCGGTGAAGTGTCACAGCTGCAATCTGGCGTCTGTGTGACCCCTCACGTGGAAACGTCTAAGACTCGATGACGCCACGCGGCCTTGGTTAGACTGAGGCACAAAAGACGCAGTACGGATCAGTAAACGGATCAGAGCCCTTGCGCTCTGTGCAGCACAGACAGTGGCTCCTGCTTGTCTAGAGCAAGACCAAGGCCTAGTCTCCTGGTGCAGACTGCAGGTCACAAACCTTTCGGTAATATACTCAACAGGGGGGATATTTTAGGGTTTACACAAAGGACATTTAAGAAGTTTATCTCCTGGGTTCATTCTGGTTCTTTTGTGTAGACTGATAAATCTGTCTTCCAATGTATAACTCCTTACTGATATGGTGCTGCAACCCAAAAGCCTCTGCTGAAAAATAAAAATTAATTTTGGGACCAGCTTATGCATTTCCTAGAGTTATTCAAATACAGTTACTGACTGGAAATGTATACGAGTCTGAGTGCCCTGTGAAGGATAAAGCTTATTTCATAAATGCAAAAGCTGTTGGAACACTCAACACTCACAGCTGTTAGAAAGTGTTAAGAACACTCAACACTCCAACACTGAAAATCCAAAACATTAAAGGCTGCTATACAACAAATGGTCTTTATGTCCATGTGTACGTTATTAAGACAGCTAAGTCAGGCAAAAGAAAATTTCTCATTCTTACAGCTAAGCAACACATATAAAACCTACTGTATAGTTCTATGTAAACAAGATTAAAAACAAGACGGCGTGCACTTCCTGCGAAATACATTAATAAAGCATTAATAACCACCTTAACAATGATTTAACTTGCTCTGCATTACCCATACAAGGCATTTTGTACAATTCCAGTTCAGTCAAGCATCACAAAGAATAAAGGCAGTGCATTTGGTCTGAAGGAAAGCCAGTGAGGTTAAAGAGGGTTTAATAAGAACTCTTACGTTTCAATTACGCTTACAAGATTAAAAAAAACATTTTGTTTTTTTATAAGATCTATATTTGAATCGACTTACTTGTCTCCTGCTGAAGATGAGCCTGACTAAGAACAAGTGTTAGATAATTAACAATTTAGCCCTGCAAAGAGAGGAAGTCGTGCAACTAATGAGAGGGTGTTAAATAGAAAATCCTTCCTGCTCCCTGCTTTTTTTTTTTTTGCTTTTTAATTTGACAAATCCCCCCGGCACATCGGTGCCTCCCCAGCAAGCACATAAAGATGAGTGATCTGGCTGCGGAGAGGCAGAGATATTAATGCAGAGAGCCTCAGGTATTGATCTGTTTATCTGAGTAACCGAAGGGGCTGGCCAGCGTGCAGCCAGCCTCCAGCACGGCGCAGGGAGCCTCAGAGCCTCAGAGCCCCGGAGCCCCAGCCATTTCAAATGGGAGTTCAGTACGTGGCTTATTAATTTTATATCACACGTCTGCGCAACTGTATTCTACAGTGGATCAGTGGATGTTCTATTTTTTATATGTCTGGATTGTTTTTATTTATTTTTGTAAAAAAATAAGCATGTTGCATCCGCAGCCTAGCGGGGTTTTAAATCTGCCAGCCAGCGTGAGCTTCGTAACTGTTGACAACGGTGCGGCCGGGTCTTCTTCCTCGGCCTCCCCTCTTCCATCTCTTCCTTGCTTTTCTGATGGACGGGTCCCACAGGCGGCCTTTCTTCTGTCGATGCCGTTTCGAACCCGAACGCTCTCCTTCCAATTTTGTTAAAATAACGGAATGAAATGGAATCAGGCTAAGGGAAAGGAACGCTCCCTTCCCGCCTCCGTCCTGGCCTGCAGCTGCGGCGACTTCCACCGCTCCGAAGCGCCGGGGCGCTGTGGGACTGGGGCCCTGGCTGCTGCCCCCCCCCCCCTCGCTCGTGTGCCCTCCCCGCTGGCGACGCCCCCCACGCCTTCCGCACACGCTGCCGCCACAGCGCCGGAGACCAGGTGCCCCCCGCGGGCACACAGCTGGCGCACTGGCGCACTGGCTCAGCCTGCGGCCCCCCCCGTGTGCCCTCTCCCCACACGCCTCGCACACGCCGCCGCCACAGCGCCGGACACGCGCTGCGGGCGCGTTAGAAACCACTCAGCACATCAGCAGGAAAATGAAAATGACGAAAACAAAAAACGTTTGTGACACAACGGCCTCCCTGCAACTATGAATAATGTCTGTTTTTTTATACGTTCAGCTTTTGCATAGGAACTGCACACAATGTTACAGTGTCTAGGGCTCAATGAGAAAGGAAATAGATCCACCAGTGTGTTTCCATCCTCACTCTCCTCCAGTATATTCCATTAACTTTGAATGGGGATCTTTCTGAGGTGCACAACATCCCCAAAGCTGATTAACCAATACTGTTCCCCTGGCAATTTCAGAAACATCCGGCTCTGAAGAAGACACGCTTAATAAATGCACCACTGCACCTCGGGCCGAACAAGCGCAGAATCGTTATTTGACAGGAATACGTTTCAGTTACAATCTGGGACCCACGAAAGTCCAACAGTACAGAAGACACATCCTTCCAAAATGTTTGCATAACATGACAGTCCCACAACAAATGCAAATCGGCACCAGGAACACCACGCTGACAGGAATGATTAATGGTCATGCACCTGAAACGATGTGAACGGGAAGATTGCTTCTGAAAGGCCCAGATGTAATTCTTCTTTTCCTGATAAAACTGCTCTCTTCTGGATTCCACCCCCTGACCCTGACCAAATCATGTCTTCATCCCTGTTACTGTTAAGCGGGAGTTAAGGGAGAGTTTTGATTTCTTTTTCTCTCCAGACACGTGGAATCATTCTTTTAGGAGAATCGGTATTTTTCTCTGTGGTTCCCTGGGTGGAGGGTAACAGGTTGTAGCTGATGGTCCAGACACTGAACTCAAAATTCCCCTCCCCTAACACTCGCACAATTGCCTCCAGTACCTGGCTATAAAGAGACCTGTTTCTATCCCTGTGCCTCTCGGCAGGGTCTCAGTGTACCTGCACAAGGCGTGCAAGGATTCTGCAGAAAACCCGCAGGACTTAGAGCCTCGCCTTCTTCACTGTGGTTTTCAGAGAGATTTCTGCTTCTGGCTCCAGCGTTCCAATATCCTCGGCTTATCCCTCTTTTGTCATACCTTTTCTTCAACCGTTTTAAACAGCATTACTCAGGAATTTATCCCGTTAAGCTCTGGTTTCCCTGAACAAGAAGAACCCACTGTGCAGACAGTGCGCAATGAAAAGAGCCTGATCCAGGCTCAACCGCAATGGACCTCTGTTTGCGCCGTTACCGACATCAACGTCAGCGCACAGCCCGTCCACAGACGCACTTCTTACAGACAATCGCTCGACCATGTATACATCTCCACGGAGATTATTTTTAAAGCTAGGGGCCGTGCTGAAAAAGTGCTATGAAAAAGCACAAAAACCCCTTCATCACAGCGTCGCGCTGTAAACTCTCGTCACAGAACTTAATTCACCTAAATAATCGAGCGTTTGATCAAGGTTTACACAGTTACCATCTCGTTAAAACATCATTAACGGTGTAGAGACTTGTTCGGAGAAGAGGAGTCAGTGAGGACTACCTAGAAACACATAAGAATATTAGGGTTAAAAACAAGAGAAACCATTCTGCCCACCCAGGTCGTCTGATTGCTAGTACTATAGCTAATTGATCCCAGAAACCCACCCAAGTGTTTCTTAAAAGCAGCAATAGGGGCAGTTCCAAGGACAAGACCGGGCAGCTTGTTCCAGACTCCCACAAACCTTGGTGTAAAGACAAGCCTCTTGCTCTTCAGTTTTAAAAGCACTTCATTTTCACTTGTGTCCTCTGGTCAATGTTTCACAAATTCTGAAGCGTTTCACTGGGGTCACTTTGGCCAGTGCCTTTAAGGATCGTGAATACTTGAATCAGGTTCTCTGCTGAAGACCAAAATGTTTCACTTCCTTCAGCATGTCAAGTGTAGGACTTTTCTTTAATCCCTCAGAAGTATCTGGTGACTCTGCTGCGGACTGATTGCAGTGCAGCAATATCTTTTTTGTAACATGTTGCCCCCGAACTGTACACAACCAGCCTTGTTTGTGTGGTGTACAGTTTTAACACTTGATTGAACTTCTGCGCTTCCGTTCGGGGCGATGGGCTGCAGGCCGGCAGGACGTGGGCTCATGTCCCAGGTTGCCTTTGTGCTTTAGCGCTCCAGTAAATTAGCAGAGCTCCTGCCTTTTAAATGGGACAGCAATTCCCAGGTTGTCACTGTAAATGAGAAATTCTGCTCTTCATTGACTTATCTGGTGAAGTCGAAGACTGTTTGTTGTTGCTACTTTTAGACACAGAGGGCAGGGGGCAGAGGGCGCCGAGGCCGGCGGTGCGGCCTACAGCCGCGAGCGATTTCTGCAGGTGTTCTCCCTGCGGCGAGCCGACCGCGGAGCCAGAGAGAGTCTCCCCTCCCCCGCACCGCGCCGCTGTTCCTGTAACCCAGCGCGCCTGCCTTCACCGCAGGCTCCGCTTTTCATGCCTCAGCCTCTCCGCCGGCAGAGCCGACTCTGACAGGATTGTGTTACAGTAAGCCTCCGAGATTCCCCCACCTTCACGCAGGGCGCCCCCTCTCCTCTGCCTTTCAACGCGGGCGCGGGGCCTCCTGCCTTCTCAGAAGCACAGAAGACAGAGAGAGAGGGGGGCAGGGAGAGCGAGGGAAGCGAGCACAGAGAGCCACACAACACCTCTTTTTCCCTGTGCGGGCCTTTTATTTCAGGGCCTGAACTTCAAAAGCATGAAAGGGCTCTCTGTAGGGATTCGAGAGTGGGGAGTGAAAAGCGGCCTTTTTCTGTCTCTGCTGCTCTCCGGGAGGAGCAGAGCGGGGGGTCAGCACTGCGGCACAAAGCCGGGGAGCCTTGCTGAGCTTCCTGGGGTCCACGGTACTACCCACTGCATGCTTCCCCTCCGCTTCTCCCTCCCGCCTTTACCCGTTCAGCTGCTGTGCCCACAGCGAGGGACTATCAGCGCTCGAGAGTTTCCACAAACAGTTTCGGGTTTTCTGTCAATTGCAAAAGTGAAAACCCATTCCATTTTTAGTAACTGCATCAGCAGTCTGAGCCAACTATCGAATGTTATTTTTCTTCTTTTGCTCATGGGCCAGGGTGTCCGGAAACACCCTGAAAACACCAACAAACCGAATGATGGTTTTGTTGCTCCTGTCACTTCTTTCGGTGCAGATGGACAGCAGACTGCAACGTGGAATTTCGATACCGAGAAATCTGCAGAATGACAGTGACTAAAAGTGAAAGTGCTGACCAGTTCAGAAACCATTACAGACGCGTCTGTCTGTCTGTCTGTCTTGGACTTTGGCTTGGTCAGAAAGTGAGAAGGAAACGGAAAACAAAACACAGCGCTCAGTACATAAGAATTCCCGCTGGCAGGAGACAGCCAGTACCAGTCCCGGACATGCCGAGGCTGGTGGTTACGGTTAAGGGTGGGGGCTCCTTGGCGCTACCCGGTTGGCACGGCCATACCAACGGACAGAACGCATCCAAGAAACACAGACTGCCACGCACGCACGCACGCACGCACGCACGCACGCACGCACGCACTCAATCTCCACTGCGTGGAGGACCACAAAAAATTAAAGTGCAGAGAAAACGAATCTGTAGTCGGCAGGTGTTTATAGCTAGCGTTACAGGGGGCCCCCGTGCCTCATGCTGCCCCAACGTCTGCTGCAGAGCTGTGCTGCTGCTGTGCCCCTGAAATGCACAGCCTGAACACATCTGTTTCCAGTGTTATCAGGGTGTATGTATGTAGGGTGTCCCAGGACACGTTGAGGGAGGGAAAGAAAGGGCTCTGAAACTTCAGCGTTTTGATTTAAACATAAATAACTCAAAAGATATCGCTTTATCACCGCCGATACAAGCTCATACAAGTTAAATTCTGTACCTTTCAACAAATTAGCAATAAGCACATCCTTTATACTCTATGTCATTTATTATCTGTCCGTGTGAGCGATACCACAACTGCCAATAGTAAGAGCAGAGGAATGGTAAAAAAAAAAAACATTTAACTTGCTAAATTGCAATGTTCTAAAGAAATAGTGTTTCCAGAAAGCTAGCAATCCATGTTTTGGAAGTTTGGATCCTATGAGAGTTTGAGATCATACAGCGCAGGATATCACCAGTGATGCTTTGCTTTCTGCTAGTGTTACAGAACACTACCAAAGGTTTTTCCTGGAACAACATGTGTGATGCTTTTCTATTCTTCAAAGAACAAAGTGGCGCCCCCTGTAGGGCCTTGTGTGTAGATACATTTAATTCTGTTGAGTGTGTATGAGATTTTGCACCTTCTCCAAAACTGGACAGCACGATTATTTATCCTAAAATGAGGGGATTTCAGAAAACTCTTTATTTTGTCGCTGTGCATTCTGTGCAAGGACCAAGCAGCAGCAAGAAAAACCTGAAGGGTTAAGTCTCTCTCTCTGAAATGGTTCTTTCCACACAAAGACAGCCTCCAGCCTGCCCTCCCGAAGTCTGGCCACACACACACCTGTGGCAACAGCAGGGAGCAGATGCACAGGTGTGTGTCGGAGAGCTCGGGGGTGGGGGAGGACGGGACAGCGCAGAGAGGCGCAGACGAGCAGGAGGAGCTCTGGCCACAGCGAATCAGACGCGAGGTTACAGGAAGGAAGGCAGGAATGAGAGAGACCCAGGGCAATGCCAAAGAGAGGGACAAAGGGCTTTGAGGCCAAGCCAGGAG